GAAAACACCTCATCCGTTCTATCGAAAAAAAAACTATAATTCATTAAGCTTTTAAAACTTCTTCCCCACCATTGAATAATAAAATAAACACATTCGATGATGATGTCAGGGCACCTTGAGCCCATGTTAATGTTCATTATACATTCCCATGAACAATGAACAATTTACAATACTTAGATTCCAAATCTAAATGCTAGGCTTAACGAAATCAGAGTCGCTAATGAGCTGTCGATATTTGGGCCTTCGAAAGAGCCCCTTATCGAATTTTCAGAGGTAATTTAGAAGCCATTCCCTCCACCTCGCCAATATCTCAGTGGCATCTTTTCATCGTGGTTAAAACACGTTTAATGGTTTTCTGTAAGCGTTTCAACGAAAGACATGCAGAAATGAAATGTACGGGGTTCCGCCTTGCCCAGCAAAAACAAAGTGCCGTCCTTGCAGGGCGCTCACTCCAAAACTCTGTTAGTGGGAAACTTCTCTCTTTGTTATTGGACAGTTTTGGCATGGACCATCGTTCTTCACGTTGACATGGACAGTACTCTATTATTATTTATGTATCGGTTCATTAAGGTCCTGAAGGCCCCAACACGTCCTTTCAGTCGTGAACAAACAATGACCTATTGGCACTTCTGTCATGGTGGAATATCCAGAGATCGATCGATTGAAAGGAACGAGTCGAGAAACTTGCGACGAGTCTCAATGCAGACTCGTCGATTGACCTATTGAAAATCCAGCGTTTACATATGAAATCTGTATTTTCCTTACTTTGCGTAGATTCGTAAATTGTTGTAATCGTCCATCAAAATTATCAGGATGTGGTAGGAGGGTCTCGAAACCCACCAAAAACTAAATGTTCCTCCCTTACTTGGAGTCTTTTCTACATATATTAAGGTAGACCTAACCTACATGGGGCCGCATTAAACACGTGCTCAGGTTACCATCATTCTATTATATATATTTCTCATGCTGCAAGGGACTTTCCTTGCACGGGATCCCAGCTCTATCGACAGAGGCATGGTGGTAAACAACGATAAGTCCTCGTCTCATTCCTCCATATCTTACCTTCCTTCGCTAAGTCTGGACTTGAGTTCTGTGCGTCAAAAATACAATCCCATCGCCAAGCTTCTCGTATTGTTTCATTGCAACGTCTGTTATCGAAACATATCGCACGACTCTTTTTTTTGTCAAGATGGGCCAAGGTAAGAATCGATACCAAAAAACCAAAGCGGATATGGAATTGGGATGCCATAAGTTGGCTGCGAAAGTGAACGCCCGCGTCCCGTACTGCGACGTAATCTTGAAAGTGGAAGATGAGGTCTTCTACAGTAGCAGGCTCATTCTGGGTGCATGGTCGCCATATTTCGATCGGATTTTCATTCATGAGTCCAACGGTGCCACCACGAATCAGATTCACCTTCGGGATGTTTCTAAACTCGGTTTCAGGGCCATCTGGGAGTTTCTGCATGGCCCGGAATTCTTCATGGACGGCGAAGATGGCGCTTTGGCCATCCTCCGGGATGCCCATTTCCTCGAGATCCAGCATCTGTGCGGAATCATCTCCAAGCAACTCGTAAGTACCTATGCTGCAGACTCGGAATGCCTTTGTCTTCCTGCGCGCAGGGCAGGATTTGGAAGGAAAAGACTTGCAGGAAGCCGTCCTCGCTTTCATGGCTCATCGCTTCAGCGAAGTATTGAGGTTCTTGAGATGAATTTGGAAGCAATCAAGGGTTTTCTCCTCCGAAACGACGTAGACGTAGGATCCGAGGAGCAGGTTTTCCATGCTACCACGCGATGGATCCGACACGACCAAGCCAGAGAGACATACCTCCCAGAGGTCCTGAATGTAGTTCGCCTTCTTCTCCTACCTTTCGACTTCTTGAGGAAGAACGTGATCGCAGATCCCACAATTAGGGGAGACAGAAGATGCGATCGCATCATCAGTGAAGCAAAGGACTACCACATCCCTGAACTTCGCGACTTGGTGCCAGTTGCCAAGACGATAAAGCGTGGATCCGGAGTTCCTCTAGCCACCAGCTCGAAAGCGGAGTCAAGAGAGGAGACCTTAGTTTCTTCCTCTCAGTCTGGTGAGGCTGGTGATATATTCTTTCTGGCTAATTTGAGAGGCAAGAAGACGGTCGCGCGCACGCATGCAAAGTCTTGGAAGTCCCTTCATGTAGCCAACTATCCATATCCGAAGGAAAGTTTGTCCCAGAGATGCTTCACTGCAACAAGAGGGAGTCTTTATTTGATCGGAAAAGGTGAACTAAAGATAATGGATCTGAAGAGCATGAGTTGGGAAACTGGTCCGGCTCCACCTGTGAATGCTCTGTTCCCCACATGTACCTCATCTCCTACGTCCATTTTCATCTGCGCAGGATGTGACAATAAGTCCGTATTTGAGCTGAATTTGGAGAGACAACAGTGGACTCAGCTTCCAGGCTCGACCTACTCTCATGGAAAGGCATCTGCAGCACTGCAGGGCTCTATTCTTCACCTCATTGGGGGTACTGAGGGCGTTGCTGGTGCCAGTCGAGCGCATGAACGGCTGGACATTCGGGGTGGTCGTTGGGAGGAGCTCGCCCCTTTCCCCGAGGGGAGACGGTCCCCTGCCTCCGTTTTCCACTAAGAGGTACTGCACGTAGCCGGTGGATATGATGGAGAAAAAACGAGGAAGGAATTTTTCTCTTACGAAGAGAGAGCTGACAAGTGGGTGCAACTGCCAAGCATGAACGAAGGGATAAACCATCATGGATTGATTGGATTCGAGGAAAGAGTGTATGCCATAGGGGGAGAGGCATCCTCAATCATCGAAGGCCACGATGGCAAGGAATGGAAGATTATCGAAAAACTCAATTTCTTCGAATGTGAGCAGGCCTGCCAAATGTGTTGATTCATATTTTTATCCTAGGTGAATATCTTAAATCGATCAAGTGATCCTCGATTAAGTGTAAAGGCAATGCGAACAGTTTAAAGCTATACATTAAAAAAAAAATACTTTTTTTTCACTGGGCTCGGTTACAACTAGGTAGACTTATACGTATTTATATAAATATATTTATATGCGCTATTGGACTTTGTCAAATATAGAACCATGCCATAATCATTTGACTACTTGTTATTACAGTATGTTAGTTTGATACAGGAAAAGAGAAATGAAAACAAGCAATAATGTCTGAATCTTTATTTTTTTATGCTTGGTGCTAGCCACATTTTTTGTTGCTGCATTTACCTTCAAATATTCGCTGCTGACCCGGTTGGAGCATCTATCGGACATCCAAATGCAAATCCAGAACTTCCGTTGGACATATTCGTGAAATCCTCTCGAATAGGTACGGCGTACATAGGCTATAGGTACTCCCTAAAATTTTCGTGTCGTGAAAATAGCATGCACGTGAGTATTCATCGCACTCTGAAGAACGTTGCTTTCCGCTTCCACCCATAATTACTTACCGGGTCGAGGTCAAGCATTCTACTTATCAAAAGATAGTCATACTCCCTATTTATCGTGCTTTTTTGGGGTAGGGGGAGGATCTTCACTTAACGCTCTGATCCGCCAATTTTTTGTCCATGAATAGACTTCGTGGTTTCGATGGTGCGTTCGGAATCGAAGATAAATGGAGTCAAAATTACAGAGATTCTCCTGGAATAAAGAGATGAAACGAAGAGTTAAAAATATGACCATTAAGATTGGTCATTAGAGGTGTAAATATAAGAACAAACACTTCTGTCTGCTTATCATTGGGTACCGTTCTGTTCCACACAACTTATTCAACAACGAGCAACAGTCAGTATCCACTGCTTTTAGTGCCTCTGCCCGGAATTCACCCTGACCAGGAGACATTTCACTCTTCAACCTGGCGATATCCTCTCGAACAGCCTCCATACGCACATAGAAACCCATTTAGGCAGCGTACATCGGAGTGATATGTTGGCTAGTTTAAGAAATGCTTAAAGTGCTCGAAATCTTCGGAATATTTCCTCTTTGAGAGCCAAGACCTTCCCACCATTGACTTGATGAGACCATGAGGGTTCATTTCAAGGATATCCTAAAAAGAGGATCCGAGAGATCCAAAAGCATTTGCGGGAATTCCCAAGTGTGAGACCACTGCAAAAATCAGAAGGACGTGGATAAACCAATCTGTCCTTGACGAAAGAGATTTGAGAATGCAAATACTGCCTTAAGGCATTGGAAGAAATTTCGTGAATGCCTCGCCATAAAAGTGAAAAGGAAACACACGGATTTCCTGGAGTAGTTCCCGACAGAGAAATTCCTGTGGAAACAGCTCATTTAATGTCAAGAATTCACATTTAGCATGCCCTTAAAAGATTTCATCTCACGCATATGGAAGGAATCTATTGTACTGATAAAAACTACTCATTCCGATTCTATAAAAATGTAAAATGTAAATGCACATTATTCTTCCCTTGTTGAATCCGCGAACATCGTGCATCGCTCTGAACGAGAGATGTCGACACTGATTTCTCCTGACCTGAGCGACAAGGTCCTGATAATTATCGCAGGGAAAGGCTCCTCCTTTGCCTTTAGTCAATCCAATTTGATGAAGGGTGCTAAAGAGAGTTAGATGGGCAGTTCATATAGCTCTTACAGGTGACACAGACTGTGATAGGTGGAATATTTCATGTGCGATTTCTCAAATTGAGATAGAGGAAGTCGAAATTTGTTCGCCTTGCGAAGAACAACTGCTCAAGGATTTCGTCATGTGAGCACTTGGCAGTCTCTTGGAAAGTTCCATTCCGACTATCCCTTTTAGCATCCATTTCCTCCAATTCCTCTTGCTCTTTAAGGAATAGTGCATGCGTGCTAAGTGAGGCTGGAATGGAAGTATAATAAGGTCATTCAGCTCTCCTGGAACATGACTAACTGTTCCCCGGAACCACATCTCCTTATTGTTCAAGCAAGTGATTACTGCAAGGGGTTTGTCAGACAAATATATCGGATCGAATCTAGCTGATAGTAAAGGAAGAAATTAAATGCTGAATTAAATCATGAAACAGGCTTGTTCGCACGTCTTGAAACCAAGGTTCTTAATAAACTTCCACTCCTCCTCGTCAAAAGCTTCGATGGTCGGGTTTTCCAATCCACCGATCCCATATAATTTCCCTTCGAACGAGATGAGGCCATGACATTCTCTTCCTTTTTTCATGCTCGGGAGTTGCATCCACTTATTTACTCTCGCCTCGTACGAGAATACCTCCTGCTTCCAAAGTGAAACATCTCCTCCTCCACCAATGTAGAGTTTTTCATTGTGGAACACAGCAGCCGGCCATTCTCTCCCCTGCGGCAGAGGGGCGACTTTCTCCCATAGGCCCAATCTCACATCCAGCCTTTCATATTCACCTAACATAATATCACGGGTATCCCATCCTCCGATGAGGTGAAGAGTGGATCCCTGCAGGGCTGCCGCAGCCCCCCCACGAGGTGTCCTGAATTTTGGCAGTTGAATCCACTTTTGTCCCTGCAAGTCAAATCTGCACACTGAATTATTTTTCAATCCTCCGCACAAGAAGATGGAATCAGAGGACGATGCACATGCGGGATAAATTACATTCACAGGTGGAGCTGGACCAGTCTTCCAGCTCATGTCGTGGAGTTCCATCGTCTTCAGTTCTCCTCCTCCTACCACGAAAAGTCTATTCCCAATCGCAGTGAAACACCTCAAGTAAAAGTATACGTCAGGAAATGGATATTGAGTTACATGGGAAGTCCCCCACGACTCAGGGTGCATACGGGCGATCGTCTTCCTCCCATCGTTCCACTCTGCTAGAAAGAAAACTTCAGTCGGAGTGCGTGGTCGCGATCCGCGCTGAATCGTCTTGCGGACTGGCACCAAGTCACGTAGTTCGGGGACGTGGTAGTCTTTGGCTTCTCCGATGATACGGCCGCACCTGTGGTCCAGGCTGATGCTGGGATCCCCAATCACGTTTCTCTTCAGGAAATCCAAGGGGAGAAGGGGAAGTCGGACTGCATCGAGTAACGCCGGCCAGTGTTCCCTTCGATCTTGATCGTGTTCGATCCAGCATTTGCATGAACGGAACACTGCCTCTTCCGAGTCTATCTTCAAGTCGTCTCGGAGGAAAAGACCCCTGATCGTTTCCAAAGTCAACTCGAGAAATCCCGGTGTTCCCACTATGTCACTGAAGCAACGAGCCACGAATGCAAGGATCTCTTCCTGCAGTTCCTTTTCGCCCAGATCCTGAGCCGTCCGGAGGAAGAGAAGGGCATTCCGTACCTGCAGGGCGAGCTGCTGGTAGGACCTCTGCTAGGGCGTCTCTACGCACTACGGCTCTTTCACGCGCAGGAATTCCTACCGGTCGTTCGGTAGGAGCGGCAGATACTACTTGAGGCCCGGCACGTTCTTGAGGGTTATGGCCATGAATCCGATTTTCGAGACACCATTGAGGACCACCTCCCTTTTCGTTGCCTCTTCGCTTCCAGAAGTGAAAATCCGGTCGAAGTAAGGCGACCATGAACCCAAAATCAACCTGCTGCTGAAGAAGGCCCTGCCTTCCACTTTCAACACGACATCGCAGTATGGCACTCGGGCGTTCACCTTTGCGATCACTTTTCGACACCCCAACTCCAGATCCAACAGTGTTTTCTTGTACCGATTCTTGTCCTGGCCCATGTCGACAGAAGCGAATGTGCTCACCGAGATGGACTGGTCTCATGCAGACAAGGCCTAAGAACAGCCACATGAAATCACACTATTGCTGTCGGCATATCGCCGAGGTAGATAACGTTGAGTTCGAGATGAATCTTATCTCGCTTCAGGTCGTAAGAGACCCAGTTGCATTATTACTCTGCGTTAGCAGATACTTCCATATTTCAAATATATATCTTAAGATGATTTTGAGGCCTTGTCGCAACGAAGCCAATCCGCACCCTCCCCCAATGAAATTTGCGTTCGCTCGGAGATGGTGCATATAGGTAGAGTAGGAAAGGACTGTGTATCTGCTGAGGGAGAGCGGATCATATGGTCTTCTATATGTTCTCGTCTCTCCAGCATATTACATTTCCTCTTTTGTCTACAAAAGCACCAATTCTAATTCCATTCTCGATCATTCATTATGACGCAGCTGCAGTAGCGACGTAGAGGGAATTTATTCAAGTCAGAAGGAACAGGAATTCCTGGATTTTAGCTCGTCAATTAAACAAGCTATCAGCTGCCAAAGAATGGAGAGCGAAGCTTCGACTGAAAGGAGTTCGCATTCACCAGCAAGTTCTTCTTCAAAGCGCTGTTCATGCAGGACATCCAATCGAAAAATCCATCAGTGAGAAAGTTCTACGCTCGCTTCGGTAACAAGCACTCGAGTGAGAGTTTTGGCATGAACCATTTTTCTTCGCGTAGACGTGTGCAGTAGATTTTTATTGTTAGGAACAAACACCGATTTATTGGCACTGCTGTCACGGTAGCANGCTGTTCATGCAGGACATCCAATCGAAAAATCCATCAGTGAGAAAGTTCTACGCTCGCTTCGGTAACAAGCACTCGAGTGAGAGTTTTGGCATGAACCATTTTTCTTCGCGTAGACGTGTGCAGTAGATTTTTATTGTTAGGAACAAACACCGATTTATTGGCACTGCTGTCACGGTAGCACATGGTGATACAGGCATCGATTGACTGAATGGAGCAAGCCGATAAACTTTCGACGAGTCGCTGTGGGAAGGCCTCGAAACGTACCGCAAGATATCGAATATCAGACATTACCCCAAAGTCAGACTTTATTTAGTTACTTGGATGAAGTTCCAAACAAATTAAGGTCGACCTTAATGCACATAGGGCTGCATTAAAAGGAATCAGATTACCACCATGCCATTTTGTGAAGTACTGTACAGGTACTGTATTTGCCCGAAACACAAGGATTTTCGAATTACTTTTTTTTTTTTAGTTCGGACGAGTTTTTTTTTTTGCATGCGGGTCTCAACTCTTTCGACACACGCATGAGTGGAATTTTAAAAATTATATTGTACAACTCACTCTTTGTCAACATGGGCCAAGGTTAGAATATAAATGCAAATACAGGGGGCTGCTATAATAATTTAGCCACTTGTTTTTCGTAAAATTCTTTAATTTAATACATGAAAAGACAAATGAAGGCAAGCAATAGAATTAGAATCCTTTATTTTATTACTCGGTCTAGACACATCTTGCACCACGATAAGTATCTACATTTTTGACATCGAATCGAGGTTTCGTATCACAATCTGGTCCAGGTTCTCTCAATATGCTTAGGAGAATTTCCTCTAATTCCACAACATTGGCGCGACTGTAACGGGTTGCTCCGATCCAGATGCTCCAACGGGGGCTCGATCGATTTCATATCTGGGCTTGGTGGAACCCAATGAACCTGAATGCCTTCATTTTTTCATTCTAGACTCCCCATGTAGCATTAGACATCCTCTGTTTCGACTGTTAAAAATCCGCTGGTAACATCGGATATCCAGAAGGAACAATCCTCTTCTTTCCATCCACTTCCGTCCTTAATGGACCCCAGAGGAACTCTGGTCAAAGGTGAGAACTATTTACATAATAAATTGACATAAGTATGTATGAAAGAAGGAAGACGAACTTGCATCCCTTTTACAGTTGACGTGCAACTAAGCTACCGCAGAACCATCCAGCAGCATCGATAAAATCGAGACACATTCAGCCAGGCGTTCAGCGCAACCTCGTGGATATTTTCGGAACTTTATTTTTACTGAGTGAACTGCTAGATGTCAGGCCAGATGGAATGACTCAGCACGCAATGCGGGCATCCTACCGACGTTGGTAATACATCGGCCGTGGCATATATCTCGTGTAAGGTAGCGTACAGGCGGCCTGCTTGGCTTTTTTCTAACTGAAAGGCAACCTAACCTTTGGCTTAGGAGGCAGCCACTCGGTACGAGCGATGGTTAGCGCGGTGAGAGTTAGGAGCTCTCTACAGGCGCGGATGTCCAACGTACCCAAGAGGATGTTTCCGGATGTGAGGCTCTTATGCGGACCCACGTCGGATTTCTAATGCTTCCCGGGTCTGGTCACACGAGAGATGTGGTATGCAATGCCATCCTCCGGAAGGATGTTGACATTTCTGTCTAATATGATGAACGGAGAACTATTGTGGGATCCGCTTCGTTTCAGCATGGTGATAGTATACTGAACAATGATTACTACATATGCCATCATATATGTTGGACGTCCTTCTTATGTCTAATCACATCTGAAACACGAAAGATTGCTTAATATTTAAGATACATTTATTCATGGGGGTGGCTAAATTATTGATATTATGGCAGGGCTCTTTATATGCCTCCATACATTTTCATGCTGGGTCTCATTTGACATTGTCGTAACAAATAATTAACAAATTCAGTATTGCTTCATTTGTCTTCCTGATAACCATAGTGTTTTCTCTCCCTCTCCCCCTCTCTCAACATTCATGTATATGGAAAATCTGCAAACGAACGTACCAGACAGGAGTTCGTAACGTGATGCAAGGAATCGGATCAAGGAATGGTCATGAAATGACGTCGATAAATAACATGTTATTATATTTAGTTTTCTTCCTTGGACGAAGATCGGGCACTCGGTGTTAAAGTCCTGAATAAATTAGGTGGGGGACTCGGAATACTTATGCCTATTATTATTGAATGGATTATGATAACTAACCTGCTGCCAAGTCATTTTACTTTAAATGAACTAAGAGTTTCGGAAAATAAATTTACATAAACACAACATTTATGCATCCTTCAAGGATAAAGTGGAATTCAAAGCAAAACAGTTTGAGTGATTGCGTCCATTTGACCTAATCAGTTTCTCAGCCATGGTTGACCTCATTTCTCGACGGGAATAGCTTGTGGCAAATGTTGGAGAGGATGCTCTCGGCGATGTCAAAGAGGGTGATCAATGGAACGCCGAGGCAGACGCCAACGATTCCTCCGATGTTCGACAGGAGATCGGCCAGATTCACTTTTTCTTTCTCCACGAAACGAGGCATCTGTGAGGGCATCCAGGAATCTATTTCAGCGAATGTTATGGGCCATTCTCATTAGTTATGTTTCCCATAAACAATGATATATTCTGAATTATATAATATTTTCATGCAAGGGGAAATCCTGGATCTTCTGAATAAAACGCTTCGTGGACTTCATGGCCATTACTATTTATCCATCCATGTATTCAGTAATGGAGAATTAACTTCCAATTTACTAAAACTTGAAATACCTTTTTTTGCATGTTTTGATACTCCAACTGGACAAGAAACAAGAAATAGAAAGCCTGATAAGACACGAACCCGTTTAGAAGGGAAGCTGAAGCTGAACCTCGCCCTACCGTCCCTCGCTTCATTCTCAATCTCCCGCTGACAGGCGGAGCTCGTGTCTCCGGAAAGATAATAGTCGGTCACACTGCACCTCTTCGGGCAGTTGCAATCTGCCATCTGCGTCAATATCTCATCTTCAAAAGCATGGTCAAATTCAGCAAATAGCTTTTCTTCTTCCTCGAAATCTTGGCATTTCGGTATAGTGGTATTTATCTCCTTGGGAAGAAGTACGGGGATTTCGCACGGCACTCGCGAGTTTGACAGGAACCGTTCCCAGAAACAGATCTCCATGCACTGTTTAGAACCCATTCTTCACTGAGTCTCTGTATATATTTTGCCTTTTTTCATCTTAATCGTCTGAATTCGTTATGGAGGACTCACCCTCGTGTGGCTGTAGTCCTCGTCCTCTTTGCAAGGATTCTCCTTCCTATGCTGGTTCTGTATGATCTCCGGACGAATGAAGATGCTGGTGACGGTGTTTCCGACCAAGAGCACCCGCTCGGGAGCAAACAGGGACAACGTCGTGAATTTCTCTCTCTGATCGTGGATCCAAACTTCCATCTGTTTCGATTAGAACATATTGCAGATAATTTTTTCAAGTTACAATATTGATAATTCTCTGATCTACTAAAATGACTGCGTTTTTCTTGCCTGAGGGCTCGTGGTTTCGATGATGCTTTCGAAATTGAAGATGAAGGAATAAAAATTGCATGAGTTTAGTCCAGTGAGTAATTTACCCTTCAGGACCAGCGTGAAACATTTAAAGAAATTTTCACTTAACAGTTCAGCATTGGGTTGGCCAGGAAATGTCCGCTCACTCCAATATCCACCATCTGGAGAATAGAACATGCAATGAATGTAATTTCCCGTGCACCATTGAGTCGGATTCACGAATGCGTTTTAAAGGTGCGATGCTATATCCCTTCACAGTTTCCAGGGAAAGGCACCGCATCATTCTCAGCTCTTTTCCATGGAATAATTTGCAGTTGGCTTTGCTACGATCCGCTTGTATGAAACAATTAAACGTAATTGTGAAGGTGTGTGTGAACCTCTGCGAGACTATTTCAGTGCATGTATTTACGTGCGAAATATGACATTGTTGGAACGCATGATATAGATGATCAAAATTAATCAATTGCCTTATATTGGTCCACTATTTTCTCGACTTCTCAATTCGGAGAGGATTCAGGAGAATATGGAAGATTAAAAAACTGATTCCAACCTGTGTTGCACCGGCTTTAAATCGTCCATTTGTCTTCTTTGAAGGAAGGAAGCGTTTCCAATTGCGATATGTGTAGGCTGATTTTTTTATGTCAACGAAAAATAATTTGGGAGAAATTAGGATGCTGAGGAATTTAACATTTTTT